TTACATTTTCCCTTACTTTACTACTAAAATGTGACTATTTTACTGAGATTCTGTTTATAATCAGAAAAATGAACGTTATTTAATAAAAACATATACTAAGTGCAAAATGTGAATTAAATATATAAGTATTTCACTTGGTTTTCATAAAGATCTATCTACATGAGACAAAGTTAATGAGTTCACAAAAACATTTTTAAAATAAATGTGAAAATAAGGCATTTTCAGTACAGAAAGGCTCTAAAATATCTAGTCAGCTTAGTACCTTCAATGACACTATTAATTCTTAGTTTTCCAAATGTATCTAAACTTATTCACGTATCTTCTTTACAGTGGGTAATCTAAATTGTATGTTCATAATTTTTGCAATAACTAAAGCTCATAATAAAGGAACAATGTTCTGTGCACAATTCCTCACCCACAATCTATCTTGTGAGCTTAGTTTTCATAGGCCATTATTCTCAGGGTTGGGCGCGTGGGCATCACAGAACAAGTGCATATTCCCTGCAGGCATGAGGTCCTCGCCTCTACAAATCAGAAGGACCTGTTTCTCATTCTTTTGGCTTCCACTTCTGCATCAAGAACTATTTGGCTGAGAGAAAACACACTGGTTTTGAGATTCTGTAGAATCAAAGAGATGTTGTAGGGGTGGAGAAGACAAATGTTTCAGGACCATAGAAAGAGGGGCTGGGCAATCATAAATCAGAGAGAGATGCCGGCTCTGAAGAAAGAGCCACTAACCCTGGAGAGGGAGCCACCTTAGTGCACTGATGACAGATGAGCCTTCGCCAGTTGGAGATGGGTTGCTCTAGTAATGTTCAAAGAGTGGGTAGGAAGAATGTGGTTAAATCATCCAGAATAGCCACAGCAGTGAAAGCAGCAGAGAAAAAGTCTGCATTAGATGCGATTCAAATACCATCTGGGGGTTTTATTACAGAAAGTAGAGTGAAGCACTTTGAAATGTGTTCTGTTCCTCATTTCTCTGGTAAAAGTACCAACCATTGAAGCTGAGTTTCTTTGGAACTGGTGGTGTTAGCCAGACTCCCCAGTGAAATCTGAGCCCTACACTTCCTGTTGTCTATTTGTTTCACACAGAGTCCACTCTCCAGAAGTATTCTTTACAGCCTGATAGCTTGAATGGATACATTTCTAATGGATCACAAAGGATCTCATGCAGGTCTCCAAATACAAAAACAGACAGTATGGAAAAGATAAGGAAAGAGATTTATTTTAAAAAAATAAAGCAAAGGAAGAAATAATATGCAGAAACTTTCTAAACATTTCCTAAGTATCTTTCTACATACTGAGACCACATTAGTCTCTGTAAAACACTGTTTATACCATGTCATGAATGTATTCAGAGACGACTGGTGGCTAAAACACTTTGGTCTGGGATAGTGTAATGGACCACATTATGTCCTCCTCAAAAGTCATTTGGAGAAAGTTCCTTAAAGAGGTAATTAAGATTAAATGAGGTCACAAATGTTGGGCACTAATATGACAGGACCGTGGCCTTATTAGAAGAGGCAGAGGAACTAGAGATCTCTCTCTCCACACATGTACAGGGGAAAGGCTGTGTGAGAACACATAGTGGTGAGGTGGGGGTCATCTTCAAACCAGAGGGTCCTTCAGAAACCAACCCTGCTGACACCTTGATCTTGGACTTTCTAGCCTCCAGGACTCTGAGAAGTAAGTTTCTGTTGTTCAAGCCACCCAGTCTATGATGTTCGTTATGGCACCCCAAGTAGACTAATGTAGATAGCATGTGGGGTCCACCATATGCTTTTAAACAATCTCTCCAGTTGTATATATCTTTCTGTATTTCTCTGCCCAAGTACCATCTATGTACTGGAACTATGTATTTAATTTTTGAATTCTAACAACCATACTTTTGTGTTCAGTGCCCCTCATCCTTATTAATGCTTTTTCTGCCTAAGATACTGAATCTTACCCATTTCTCAAGTTTCATCAGAGGTCCTGATTGATTCTTCTGTGGAGCTTTTCTCCTTCACCCCAGGTGGGAAGTGTTCCCCTCCTCTGAACTCCTACTGAACTTCCTGCCTGAACTGCTAATTTGACCTTTATAACATGCTGTTAGTATTTCTCTAAGAAGAATGTCAGATCCCTTAGCTAATACATTTTCTTACAATCTGTATTCATCATAACAAATATAGAGCACAGAGGAAAATGCACAAGAAAGAAATACCACTTTTATTAGGTCACCAACAATAAGACCATTTGATAAATACTTCCAAAAATAGAAGTATTCTAAGTGTATGCATGTGTATGTATAGAATCCAACTCCACATGCTTTATGTTATGCTTCTTTCACTTAGCCTGGAACATCATTATTGTCATTATTCTTTCCAAAGTTCATTTTAATTGAGTTATAATATTCTATCCTATGTACTATAATTCATTTAACCAAGTCCCTATTGATGACTATTTAAATTATTTCTAATCTATCTATCTATGTTATAAATAGCCCTGTGATAAATACCCTTACCAAACAATCTTTGCATAAATTCATAAAAATATCCCTGGGATAAAGTTCTAGAAGTACATTTTTTTATGATATGTATTGCCAACAAGTTGTACATCCCTCAACATGAGAGTGATCATTTCTCTACACACTCAAATAAACCTTGACATATTTTCAAATGCGTTGCCAATTCGAAATATTGATTTGATGAGAACATAGACCATGTGTTATTTTATTCTTTCTACTGCTACCATTACAATTGATGCTAACTTGTCAATTACACTACACTATTAAATGTTCAAAATCATTTCACATACATAAATTAAAATAATATTTTACAGCATCTAGCATAATGCCCTTCATATACAAAGTTCATAAGAGATTATATATGATCATGGAATAATAAAAATATCACCCCATAAATGGGGTATCTTTTACATGCTACATGAAAGTCAGAGAAATCAAAAAATTATTCCTCCAGTGGATATATGTAATTTTAAAAAAATTGTTTTGCTATTCTGAGTCTGATAAACTATCTTTAATCCTATCACCCCCACTCTACCCTTTATCTATTTATTAATCACTTCCTATTCCCTCATTAATGTATCAGTTCTACTTGCAATGGTGAAGTGCATTTTAAGGTGTGGCATTCTAGGTATGAACCAAAAAAATTTGTTTTTCTAACATTTATTTATTTTTGAGCAACACAGAGAGAGAGAGATAGAGTGTGAGTGGGGGAGGAACAGAGAGACAGGGAGACAGAATCTGAAGCAGGCTCCAGGTTCTGAGCTGTCAGCAGAGAGCCCCACATGGGGCTCGAACTCAATCATGGACCGCGAGATCGTGACCTGAGCTGATGTCGGACACTTAACCCACTGAGCCGCCCCTACAGTATGAACTCAAAATTTTTAAGAAACTAGCAAGGAAGGAACATTTCAGCTTTGTTATAGAACATTTTCTAAGGTGTTTTTTATTGAAAAAGCTTTTGTTCTTTTTAAAAAAAATTTTTTTTCCTAATGTTTATTTATTTTTGAGAGAGACAGAGACAGAATGTGAGTGGGTTAGGGGCAGAGAGAGAGGGAGACAGAATCCAAAGCAGGCTCCAGGCTCTGAGCTGTCATCACAGAGCCCGACCCGGGACTCGAACTCAGGAGCTGTGAGATCATGACCTGAGCCGAAGTCGGACGCTCAACCGACCGAGTCACCCAGGCGCCCCGATTTTGCTCTTTAAAAAACAATAATCACTTTCTTCCCCCCCCCCATGTGTATGAAGTTCCTTTGCTTGTATTACTAGTTTTCAATACGCTTTCTACATATTTATCTCTTCTCTCTCAAGTAGAGCAAATTGGTTGTCAACTTCTGCTTTTGCAGTTATTATTCAGTGTCCCCAGCGCAAAGGACTAGTCCCAGTCTCATTTTGAGACTCCAGTCCTCAGGGGCAGAACTCTTCCCAGGTGCACCTCCTATTCTATGTGCCCTTATCAGCCTCCATGAACTCCACCCCCGTCAGTCTATTGCACTGTCTCCCCTTACCCTTCAACCCCTGCTGACATCTCATCTATGTATGACTTCCTCTTGGCCCAGAAAAATTATATGAAAACATTTCACAAAATAAAAAGCCAATTATCTGACATACCACTGCAAAACTTTTTAAAAGTCTCTCAAAATCCATTTGTTAGCTACCTATAGTTTTTATTTAGAGACTAAAGCAAAATGTCAAATTTTAGGACTATGTCCTTGATATTACAAAAATAAATGAACTGCTACTTCTCCTTTCCTTAGTCAATGTTTTAACTTTGGAAAGTGGAAAGTTTGCCATGGTCCCAGTACTCTGGGTAGTAAGAATATGATAGATTTTCTCTAAGAGTACTGTTGTTTGCGCTACAGAAAACATATCTAGTGAATAATTCCTGGTGGGGAAAAAAAAAATCACGTTTTTGTGAACCAGGATTTAAACACAACAGGAAAACGATTTATGCTTTTGAAGTTAAGATTTTACTCTTTGGCTACAGCGGGTTTAACTGTCATTGTTCTCTGCTGGTCAAGTATCATATTCGGATTCACACACGTGTCAGACAGCATTGAGCTCCACATTTTTCACACATACAAGCCCATTTAATCATCATAGCAACCTTGTGAGGAAAGTATTACTCCCATTTTACAGATGAGGAAATGAGGTCCAGAAAGATAAAATAATTCGCCTAATCTAACAATCTAAAAATGCCCGAGCAAGGGGCGCCTGGGTGGCGCAGTCGGTTAAGCGTCCGACTTCAGCCAGGTCACGATCTCGCGCTCCGTGAGTTCGAGCCCCGCGCCAGGCTCTGGGCTGATGGCTCAGAGCCTGGAGCCTGTTTCTGATTCTGTGTCTCCCTCTCTCTCTGCCCCTCCCCCGTTCATGCTCTGTCTCTCTCTGTCCCAAAAATAAATAAACGTTGAAAAAAAAAAATTTAAAAATTTTTGAATTTGAATTCAAAATTTGAATCCAGGCCAATGAAGCGATCTCCTCTTACACTAGATTTACCTCTGAAATAGTTTTGCCCCAGGCGTAAGTACCATCTTCAGGTCTGCCTCCATTTGGATAAATCCAGACTCGTTTTGCATTGGGCTGCTTGTACAGCCTGCTCTGAACGAGTGCTATACGTTTAGTTTCAACTGTAGAATTTCTTTTGGATTGCAGTTCTTGAACTGCAGAAAGGTGCTCCTGGTAAGAAAAGCCCAGAGAATTGCCTGGTTAGTATGTTTATGAAGGATGTGATGAAAACAGAAATACCTTATAATTGTAAATTATATTTTAAAAATTCTAGGAAGTGCATTACCCTCTCCTGTCACGGAATCTTCTTAAATCCCCCTTGCTTCCATGAGTCATCAAAGGCAATAAGAACAATTAGAGTAATAATAATAAGGCATTTATTTTGGCAAAACACTTAACTTTCATTTATAATTTGGAGAAATGAATAGAGATGTGTTTTTGGATTTCTGTGTGGTGTTTCTCCTACTGAGCAATTTCTCTGCATCTAACAAATGAGTTTTTGATTAGAATCACAACATCATTTTCTTTAACCAAGAAATGCTTCAGGGAATGTGCATGACTGTTGTTTGAGTCTTTACTCTCTGTCTTTTAAAATACAGCAACCACCCTTATACTTTGCCAGATCCCTGCCAGGCAGCTTTTCATCCCACTTCAAGCATGTCCTAGTTCAATGCTTTGCATTCATTCCCTGGTCAGTGATTTATCCTTCTCAGCTTGGCAAGAAGTCATATTTCTAGCAATGTCAATTTCTTTTTTTCTAGTAACCTTGACTTGGGCACACGCCTAAGATTTAGATTGAACACATTTCACGATTTGAGAAACCCTATTAAATAAGAACATATCATTTTGATGAAAAACTTCACAAAGCAAAAAGTTTTCCCAGGTCTCTATCCCCAGTCCTCTCTCAACAGCTGACCTTTCTCTTCTCGACTTTTTTTATGTCTGGCAATCCTGACTGATTAACCAATTGGACTGAAACTGCTTTTTGAATTCCTCACTTCTGAATGTCTCCATTGCAATTAGTATTTTGCTCCTTGCTCTTTTTACATATTGAGACATACCCTTAGGAGTGATGAGCAATGAAGCCATAAGGCTCAACTTGGCTACACTTATTATAATTACCTTTGTACATATCCACTGGGCCTTTTTCTCTTCTTTGCTAAGGTCATAATTTCTGGTCTCCATTCAAACAAAACAGACTTTCCTATGAGCTGTCTGTCTTTTAGATAACTACTCTCCAAATGCCAACTCAATGCTTGGCATATGCTTATGTGGTCATAACAGACCAGATGCTGAGGATATATTAATAGCGTAATTTTAAAATTCAATACTATACTTTTAAAACCTTATTAAAGAGGCAGTCTTTAATGTCTGGAGTCCTGAAGAACGCACCTCTGTATGTCTTATGAGCTCCATGAGTTTAATTTCCTCTTGAGTCTTCTCGGTCCATCCTCCTTCCATCACCACCGGCTGCACAGGGTTTTTGTTGGGAACCATGGCGGCTGGCTGACACGCTGCTACTCGCCGCCCTGGGGAAAGAAGTCCCTGGTAATGTTGTTTCCGAAGATGGGCTTTCAGATTTTAAATAAATTGGTTTGGCATTCTACGCATAAATCATTCCACTTGGGAGCATAGGCTAAAATACTAAATATATCATAAAAGCAAAGACGCCTAAGGTAATAATATCTAACAATGCTTCTTCATATGGGAGCTTGAGGTTTCAAACAGCCAGGATATGCATATTCACTGTACAGATGGAAAAGAAAGATAACATGCTGACTTCCACACTGGCCCCAGCCTCTCATGCACGATATGGTTCAGTGGTAATTTAGTCAAATAGAATCCATGACCTATATAGCCCATCATCTCTTCCAGTCATGGAACATATGTTTTGTTCTCTTCACTAATAATAAGCCTTTCCCCAACAATTAGCTTAGCAGCCTGGGGATTAAGTACTTCTAAAATAATATTAACCCAAGAGACAGAAGGCCTTTTTTTCTATCTAATAATACCCGCAAGCACGATTAGTTTCTGACACCTCTGCTGTGCCCTTTAGGTTGTTAAAAAGCTGTGGTAAGAGAAAATATTTGTTGGAATACTGTACTCCAAAGAATAATAGGCATAATTTAATAAGTATGTTGATTTGAACATATGCATTCTTTTAACGAGTAGTCCACTTAAAATTGTTATAAAAGAGATTTAAAAATATTGGGGCGCCTGGGTGGCGCAGTCGGTTAAGCGTCCGACTTCAGCCAGGTCACGATCTTGCAGTCTGTGAGTTCGAGCCCCGCGTCGGGCTCTGGGCTGATGGCTCAGAGCCTGGAGCCTGTTTCCGATTCTGTGTCTCCCTCTCTCTCTGCCCCTCCCCCGTTCATGCTCTGTCTCTCTCTGTCCCAAAAATAAATAAACGTTGAAAAAAAAAAATTTAAAAATACTAATTATCAAATTGTTTTCTTTTTCTATGTTGAAGATAAACTCATACTGAGTCTTATATTGATCTCTAAACTTTTTAAGTACAAATAATGCTTCCTCTTGCATGTTCTTTCTAGAAACTTATGTTGAACACTAGCTATCAGTTAGGCTTTGCACTAGATAATGCAAATACAAACATGCTCAAGATTTAGTCCTGTCTCAAGTTTGGTGGGTAAGGCTGATATCAAGGAAATGATTATACCAATAATTGATTGCAACTGTGCTGCACCAGAGAAGTGCATTTATATGAAAGTATGTAACACTAAGCTCAGTGCTTAGTCTCAACTGCCAGAGAAGGCTTCTCTGAGAAAGTAACATTTAGGTGGATAAAATAATAGAAATTCTAACACAAAGTTGGGTTTTAATTTTGTCGCCAAGGGAGTCTTAATGTGCAGATTCTCAGACCATGACCATAAACAAAACTCTTTGAAAATAATTTAGTATTTGCAGAGAATAAAGCATTTGTGTTCTTGTAAGCTCAAGTTTGTGGAAACAGATCCAGCAATAAAAATAAATGGCAGCAATGACTTTTCAGAGAAACCAGAATTCTATGTACCCAATAAGCATTCTATACAATTTATGGATGTGGAGAAAATATAATTGAACCAGTCAGCCAATGAATTACAGTGGCAATGCCATTAAGTTACATGATTTGGAGAAGACCACAGTGGTACGAGAAAAATACATAACGCAAATTTACGCAAATATAGTTTTTAGCCTACTCTATTCATAAAGTGGAAACAACATTAATTTATGATACATAAGTATTTTATTTATAGTGCCTTTTGAACACTAAAACTTTGCTCAACTAAAGAGAGCTCAGCAATAGTTTATCATTTACACTCTTAAGAGCCAGGATTTGAATGTAGGAAAAGAGCAAAAACCATATGCATTATTTGTTTTTTGTCAACTTGCTTCTAATGGTCTCTAAAAAAAAAAAAACTAATGCATTTGCACTATAATTTTCATAGAGACATAAATTCATCACAAAAGGTTTTGGTTCGGGAAAAGATGTTCATAACAAACTATTATTTATGTAGGTAAGAATACAAATTGAAACCAGGCAAAATGTATTGATTAAATAATTTTTATTTTCTTATTACATTTCCCATATATCCTATTTTATTTCATATGATATATGGGGAAAGTAATGATAATAGCTAACAATTAGTGGGGAAAACTAGAAAACATGAGTGCTTTGCTGTTCTTTCAGACTATAAATCTCACCTGTACAGATCCCCCATACCCCTCCCCTGATTAAAGGCCCACACTGTTTCAGCATTATCTATGGCTGGGAGGGTAAGTCAACCTCACTTGAGGTTTTAGTTGGCAAACCCATTTAGCTCTCACACTAAATAAAATGCTCCATCATTGTCTTTATATGTAACAAAGATGATACTTTGGCCTAATCTGCCATTTCTTAGTTTCATTGATCAGTTTTTAAGACCCCAAGTCAGAAAATGGGCTGCCTTCACAGGAACTTTTATTCTAATACTTATCGAGTATTTATTATGTGCTACGCATGCAGTAAATACTCGACATCTGTTACTTAATCATAAAAACCCTACAAAGTTATTACTAGACTCGTGATTAATATTAGCAATGACCATACTTATAAATGAAATGTAAAGTCAGTTTAGCATAGTACTTTATACATAGCATATGCTTAATAAACATGTGTCGCATTTACCAATGGCTATAATAATGGAAAATAATCTACTTAGCCACTATTTATACCTCTCATACCTCCTCTTTCATCCAATCCTCAAGAAGCTCATTATCCAACAGGGACTGCAGTTAACTGAACTTTGACTTGTTCTTATTTATCTTCCTAAGCCCAACAACTAGAAAAGCCTGTCCTCAGAGTAGGTATTTTATAAGTATGCATTGAATTTACATTTAATAGCAGAAAATATAACAGTTTGTCAGTAGAGACAAGATTTATCTTAGCACTAAATTCTAAGAGAAATTTCATTAATGGATTCCTCCATAATGGACACCATCTGACCAAACAGACTATTGTCAAGAATGATATTGTAGATGATACCAACTGAACTTTAAACACTTTTTTAGTACTTAATTATAATAAAAGCTGAAGACATGATATAAAATCAGCATACAGTAAAGGCAGCTCTGCCAGGTGCTATTTTTAGTATGTTGCTTTTTATTGATTTAATTTGATATAGGAATAGACCTTAGAAAACTCATGGGGCGCCTGGGTGGCGCAGTTGGTTAAGCGTCCGACTTCAGCCAGGTCACTATCTCGCGGTCCGTGAGTTCGAGCCCCGCGTCGGGCTCTGGGCTGATGGCTCAGAGCCTGGAGCCTGTTTCCGATTCTGTGTCTCCCTCTCTGCCCCTCCCCCATTCATGCTCTGTCTCTCTCTGTCCCAAATAAATAAATAAACGTTGAAAAAAAAAATTAAAAAAAAAAAAAAAGAAAACTCAGTGGAGTGAATGGTTGAAATTCCAACCATTCTTTAATTCAGTCATTCTACAACTATTCACAGAGCAAACAGGAAGGGTGTAGAATTTATAATGTATCATAGGGAAGACAGTCACATGACCAGGTAATAATATTAATGTGATAACAATTATCACAGGGGAAGTTCAAGGTGTGATAAACCACATTATTCCTGACATGGAAAAGGAAGGCTTTTAGGAAGAACAACGAGTAAGCTGAAAAGTATATAATGAGTTCAAGCAATCCAAGAGGACAAGAGAGAGAGAAACTTGAGGCAGAAGAAACTAAATTGTTCCACAAGCCCAGAGTTAAGAAAGTGCCTGATACATCTGGAGAACTGAAAAACAGTCCAACTGGTGGAGTGGAGTGCACAAGGAAAAAGAGAAACTCACACAGAACCAGATGGTGCAAGGCGACACTAAGGAGTTTCATCGTCCCAAAGATAATAAGGAGCTTTGAAAGGTTTTATGCCTGGAGCACCATGACACCTTTGTATTTTTGCCTGATCACTCCAGATTCAGAACATCGTCATTAGCATAGAATAGAAACTACTGTCAAGACTGGAAGCAGGGAGACAAGTTACAAAGCTGTTCCAGTAATCCAAAGAATAGATGACAATAGTTTGAATTTAGATAATACGGTTGGGGATTAAGACAGAATTCATTTGAGATAAATTTAATAGATTAGGAGCCACCAGACTTACTGATACTTGCTTGGAGAAAGTGAGAGAGGGGGAGATGCCAAGGATGACTCCCAGGTTTCTAAGATGGAACACCTGGGCAGATGGTGGTGGCATCCACTGCTCGAAGAAATGAAGTGGTAGTAATTGGAGTGGTGGTAACATGATAACTTTAGTTTTGGACACGCTTATGGGATATTCAAGTGAAAATGACTAGTAGTTGAAGCAGTAGAGGTTATCAGTCATAATAGAGGCTTTTCATTTAGACCCAATAATTCTTTTGGTAAGAACTGAATAGTAGTCATCTCAATCCAGACCTCCGTCTTGTGCATTTACAAGTAGTTGCGTTGCTTATCAAAATAAAATTCACATGCTTTCAACAATACACAGTGCACATCCTTAGGAGTTGAAATCCTGCTATAGAAATTATGGAGCCTGAAATGTATTCCTTTCCAGACTAAAGTCCACAATACACTACTTCTCTCCAAAGAACCATATGATATCTCAAGTGCTAGGAATAGTATAAGGTCCAGAACCTAAGATTCATTGACAAAGAGAATGAAAGAGGAGAACAAACATTGCCAATTGATTACTTTGACTATGAATAGCATATTTTGTGCTGCCTAACAAGAAAAAAAGAAGCCCTTCTGAGATAGTGACATTGACCGTTGAAGAATTTAGTATTTCCTCACTCAAATTATTGAAAAAAACAAACATACAAAACAACAACAAAAACCAAAACACTTCGTCCCCAGTAATTCCCAAAGAATAGACAGAAAGTTTTGTTTAAGATCTAATTTCAAAGCCCACAAAATGTCAGTTCAGCAACTGTTTCAATCCCACCATAGGGGTTATATGACCCAGACAGTCTCCTAATTTTAAAAATTTACCTAGAATTCATGTGATATTCATTTTAATATAAAGATTACAAATATACAATCAGTACTAGAAGATACATTATTAGGTTTTAGACTGGCTCAAGTGACTTTTGTGGCACAATATTTATGGTACTCAGTTAAACATCTGGTATCTAATAGTAGGAAAAAACTACCAGTAAATTGGGGTTACATTTAGAAATAAACACGGTGATACTTGATTTAGTTCATACTGACCTTTTAACTGTCTCATTTTGTGTTTCATGGTGTCTAGATCAGCCAAAATTTTGTCCTTTCTTAGCCAGTTCTGTTTTTCTAATTTTTCTACTTTCTGCAAAGCTAGAAAAAATACATGATATTTTATCCTGCATTGTGTTATCAACAGTAATTTATCATGCAAGCCAATAATTTATAAAGAACTTTCTGCTGCAAGAAATAGATTCAATTAGAAATAAGTAATTAAAAGGTAAGGGTCATTAAAAGAAACCTCATTTGAAAGATGACAGGGCTTAAGGCATTTCTTTATGGAATGGAGAGAGGGGAAAAAAAGAAGAACCGTGCTGTTTTATTACATAGATTTACCATATGCAATAGCCATATTTCATTTTCCACCTCCACAAACTATTTGGAGGTGATGAAAGCCTTGCTTGGAACCATTCATTTTTTAAACATCCACCTACTGCCTAAAGGGTGCAATTCTTAAAAATGAAAATGTGCAGACAGGTCGTCTTCAGTGTGAATTAAACTCATTTGTTATTTTCTAATGTATACCATTATTCTCAGTCTTATAGACCAAGGATCTCTTTATCAACTAAATTAGACATTTTTCCATGCAGAATACTCCATTCCAGTAAGAAAAAACAGGCAACTGTGCAAATAAAGGAGCATAGCTATCCTTGTGCACGTGTTAATTGATGGACCTCCTGTTCTGTGCATAAATGTGATGTTATTATGTTGACATTGTACACATTTAATTCTTTTCTTATGGTGGCATAAAATTTATTTCTCTTTCTTTTATACACTTGCTTGAAAGCAAGCAAAAACAAAAAACTTACCATTTGGAGATAGAAATGGTTCACCACAAGATACCCAGATGGCAATGGGATTTCTGAGGATGAGGGTGAGCAAAGACTTATCTACACCATCCAAACTATCAGATGTCACAGACTTTGGAAATAATGTGGTTTTCTCTTTTGTTCTTGGGTTTTCTAGGAAACAAATGACACATTTACCACTGCACAATGGATAAATTTGCCTCCTAAGTTCATTTGTTTATTCAAAAGATTTCCTTTCTTATTAATGACTTGATTTAAATAGGCAATACCTAACCAGATGCAAACACATAAATTTGACCAGAAACTTCATATGCAATCAAATAATTTAAACTACTCTGATTGTAAATATATTTTTAGATTCCTTTTTTTACACTTTACCTAGTTGTGACAGAAATCTGAGGTGGCTAACCAAAATAGCTACTCTGAAAAGGAATAAAATAAAAATATAAGAAAACTAAGGAAAGGGGGAAAGCCTTTTTAGGCTAAAGCCAGAGATAAAATGCTTCAGTGTCCTCATCTTTCAAATGAATAATAGTATCTATCTCATTCTGCTGTTAGGAAGATTAAAAGGAAAAATAAAAGAGGAAAGTGCTTAGAATAAATAGTGTTCAGTCTAATTAATTGGACAAGTATCCAAAAAATGCTAGATAATATTTTTGTTATTAAATGGGTATGAAAATCACAGTGTTTCCATTTGCTAGGGGTAAAGCACAGTTTGGCTTCTGAGCATTCCAGTGGCCCAAGCAAAGAGGAAAACACAATATCAAGGTTCATATGGCCCACACAGAGTCATAAATTCTTCAGAAGATACAACTTTCCTGGTTCCTGAGATCTGAGATAAATTTATTTCAGGGTTTTCCTAAAGGGGTTATTTGTGAGAGAGCAAACAGTGTCCTACAATAGAAATGAGCAATATTCAGAACTTCTAACATGCTGGGCATGTCACTAAGACCTCTGCATACAGTATCACATGTAATTCTCAGAATGATACTCTGGGGTAGGTCCATTCCTTTTTTTTACAATGTAACTGAGGTTTAGTCACATAGATAGGTAGCAGCAGAGCCAGGATTAGAAACCAGGCCATATACCTCCAGAACCTGTGCCCATAACCACCATCTCCATAATAAACATGATACTGAGTTTTTGACTGATGCCTGTTTTTTTTAAAGTTTCTCAACACAAACTGATGGCATAACATAAGCCACAATTCAGTTAAAGGGGGCAGCCTATTAATAGACCAGCTTGTTCAAGGATAACCTCTAGAATACAGAGGGGAAGGGATGGCCACACCCTTTAGTAGTCCAGCATGAATAACATTACTTCTGGGCTTAATTTAAATACAAAATTAAAAGAAGAGCCTTTGAGATTATAATATGCCAGAACCTAGAGATCAGATATCTATATGCCAAGTAAAGGCCAAACTAAACGCTTTAATGATCATCTAGGCATTAAAAGGTCACATAATTAATTTTAAAAACTCATTAGAAAACAGGACAAATAATATCATTATGAAATAATAGAAAAAAATATATACTGGTCTTTGCCACAAGTTCCTGGCAGAGAGCTTCTAAATTTCTTGTAATTTTCTAAGTGATTCTTTTTGTCTTTGATTCTGGTTCCTGATGCAGAGCTCCTAAATCCTTTGGAATTTCTTGGATGATAGCAGTATCTTGTTTTCTAATGACAGACTCTTGGATGAAGGCTGGTCACCAGAAAGACCAAGCCATGATTAGAACCTTGGAATTTTCCACCCCACTCTCATTCCCGAAAGAGGGAAGAGAGGCTGGAAATGGAATTAGTGGACAATTATGCCTACATGATGAATTCTGCATAAAAACGCCAAAAGTACAAGATTTGGAGACTTTCTGGGTTGGTAAACACATGGAGCTGGTAAGAGAGGAGTGGCAGGCTTAGAGAGAACATGGAAGTTCCGGGCTCCTTCCCATATACCTTATCTTATTCATCTCTTCCACCTGGATGCTTATCTGTATCCTTTATCACATCCTTTCATAATAAACCAGTAGACTGTACGTACACATTTCCTTGAGTCCTGTGAGCTGCTCTAGCAAATTAATCAAACTGAAGGAATATTTAAACATGGGAATTTCCAATTTAAGCCAATTGATCAGAAACACAGGTCTGGATATCTGAAGTGAGAGGTGGTGGGGGCGCAGTCTGTGGGACTAAGCTCTTAACCTGTGGGATCTGATACTATATCTAGGTAGATAGTGGCAGAATTGACTTAAATTATAGGACATCCAGCTGGTGTTGCAGAATTGCTTGGTGTGTGGGGGGGGGGGAACCACACATCAGGTGTCAGAAGTGTGAATGTGATAAGAATGTGAGAATAAAGAGACACCAGGAGGAAAAGTGGGTTTTTCCTACTCAATCCTATATACGATAATGATAGCTACTATTCACTGGATGTTTAGTCAACATCAACCAGGCACTATTCTAAGCGACATACACATTTATATATAAATTCCTATTCATATATACTCTTATGAATACATATTCATACCTATGAGACCAAATGAGTATACATTTACATGACTATCAGTGTAAAATTTGTAAAATGAGGCAACTGAGGTACAAGAGTTTAAACAACTTGCCCAAGATCATTCAGCTAGCAAGTGACAGATCTAGAATCTGAATCCTGGTATTCTGACTCCAAAACCCAAGTTCTTAAGCTTTAAATGATGACTCTCAGTATAACAATGGAAAGCTGAGATTACTCTGGTGAATCACTGTGAGCAAGACTCATTTTCATTTAGCAAACTGTTGCTGGGGACATAGTTTGTCCCTGTCCTCAAGTTGTACATAGTTAAATGAGACACACAAAGATGTAAACAGATGATTATAACACAATGTGCTAGGAGTTGCAATACAGGTGCTTTCACTGGAGCTTCTGGGAGTTTAGAGAAGCAGTGGAGATGGGCAGGGGCAGGTTAGGGCAGCTGGTGGGCAACACGCTTGCACTGATCAAACCCCACTTTCTTAAGTGGTCTCTAGTTGGTTCTGGTTTCAAATTTAATAACAAAGCTGCTCATAAAGTAGCTAAACTGTCAAACATATTTTATAAATTTGAGGCAATTTATTGACTGTTTTGGTGCTGACACCAAATTGATATTCTTTTAAAAAATGTTTCTTGTTATTCTTCAAGGTAAAAGCAATATGAGAACCTCACATGAGAGTAGCTTTCTGTGCTTTTGTAATTGTAGAAGGGCTGACTGAATCAAAGAACCACATTTAACTTTTTTACTACAAAAATAGGGAGAATCAGCTAAATCCTGATTTGTATAATACAACCAACCTTTCATACTTTTAATAGTTGCTTCTTTCGTCCCAACAGAGGCTGCCTCTTTCTTTGGTTCCTCAGCGTTTCTCTGGATGAAAGATTCATCCAGAGCCCATAAAACCAAGTCACGTAAGGAAAGGACTGTGGTTCCATCTTTGGTATAAACTTTGGATGCTGCTCTGGCAAGACCAAGTTGCTCCGTACATTCTGTAAGAAGCTTAATAGCAAATAATATAAGGAAATGATTAGAGAAAAAAGGGATAGAGCTGGGAATAATTGTGAAGAGCTTCTTATTTTAGAAATTTGAAAAAATCCTTTAATTTGGGGAAATGGAAAGGTGAATAACTACTGATTTGATCTTTGAGTAGAGATAATTTTTTATATTAGATTGTCTGATATAACCTCATAAAATTAGTCCTTACTCAAGCTGTGAAAATTAGCTCCAAAAATTTAACACAGCAGCTGATACATTTAATCATGAATCAGTTAATATAGTTTATCATCAGAGTATTTATTTTCTAAGAAGTGGTCAACTTAGAGATCCACTTTCAATTTTGTTGCTTTATAAGGTATAAAATAGTAACACTTCACATTGATGAACTGCTTTAAAATAAATGAGTAGTTGACTTTCAAACCCAAACTGAAACATGTTGTTACTTACATTTTGTGGATAGGAAAACAGGCTGAAAGGTTAACATTTTTGCCCAAAACTACAGGATACAGCTGTGGAGCTCAGGGTGAATATTGAAGTTGCTAACTTTTGTGACTTGCTTGGTTTGTTGAACAATATCTTAATAAAAAAGCCACTTGTATTCAACCAAAAAGGTGAGTGAATGAGTAGGTATGTACTTGTGTGTTTGCAAGGAGGTCTCCAGGGTAACTCCATATCATATTTAACATTGCTTGTAAAATATGCTGTTAAAGGCACTGCCCAGAATATATAGACAAGATAATCACCAAGCAATGGAAGGACAAAGCTGGGTTTGGGCCTTTTGAACTCTCCCTCCTTCCCGTGACTATAAGGAGGAGCCTCTATGACAGTAACCACATATTCCTTCCTAACACAACTCTTGCTTCTCCAATTTGAGAATGATGTGAAATAAGCTGTCAACAAATAAGTGCTCATTTTTTTCCGAATGATAAATGAGGTAGTGTCTCTTAGCAAATTCAAATAACATACAATTTGAAGGTAGAATGGGAAGGAAGGCAAAAAACAAACAAACAAACAAACAAACAAACAAAGGAATTCTGTCTATCACAAGAGTGAAGAAACTCTGGTAGCTTTATCTTCCCCCTGCTTTTGTACATCTTTGCTCTGGAGCCAGTCTAAAAACCATATTCTGATTTCTCATTTTTCTGAGTCTGTATCCAGAGAAGTACAATAAAAAAGAATATCTTTAAGAAAACCGAGATCTTGATCTCATCAGCTTAAATTAGTGAAACTGGCCAGGGACATTTATCATTCAATCCCATTGCTTTCTTCTTGTCAGAAGAATCACTATTATCATTACCTCTGAGGATGCAAGAAACATTTAAGTGATAGCCACTTACTGTGGGGAATGTTTCAGCCACAATTAACTTTCCATTTCGATACCCATCTCCATTTTTGTATGCAATTATTTTCACTGCCTTCTGGTGCATAGCTGCTAGACCACCATGAGATACGACTTGTGTGCAGGTCTTCATCCGTAAAGATAATAGACGTTCTTCATAATAACTTAGCGTTTTCTCAGCCTCATAAGAAGATAAATCAGCCTGATTAAAACAAAACAAAACAAAACAAAACAAAACAAAACAAAACAGAGGTTTACTCAAGCTTTTTCTTTTAGTTTCTGTTACTTTGGTATATTTCAATCTCTTAATTTAATAAATATCTGCATATACATGTGTGTGGTATCTAAGTTTTGAAATGCTTACTCCATATGCTATAGGTCTTGGATATCACAGTGGGAAGAACATTGAGTCAGAATTCAGTTCTCTTCCCAGCCCTGTCATGGAGTCCTTAGGTGACTTTAGGCCTCTGGTTTGTGTTTCTGGGCTTCTCCTGTTTTCTATTTTGCCTTCTCCTGACAGGAGCTGGGGAAGAAGGATGCCAGGGCCAGAGAAAGCTTGGGGTTGAAGTGATGGGATGCTGGCACTACAGATATACTCTTGGTCTTTAACTTGAGGATGATCCCATCCCCTGGTGGCAGACTGAAGAAGGGGAAGGGGAATGAGTGCAGTCTTAGCCACATGTGTAGGTTCGGCTTTTGGCTTATTGCAGCAAAGACAAGAAGGGCAGAAAGGATTACTCAACACTCCACAAGTCAAGAGAGGTAAGAGGGAGGCTAAGGGAAGTCTCCCTGAGTGGCTCTCAATCTTCCATATGTACTAAGCATACATTCCGGGAAACATTGTGCAGTGGGCTACGTGGCAATAAGAACTTATAGAAAGCATGCAGAACCCAAGACTACAAAAGAGCAGATGCAGAAAGCAGGGTGGAGAACAAGATAAGATATTCCATAGTAACATGGTCTAAGGAATTCATGAGCACAGGCAGGACCCAACCTTAACTAGATACCCACCCGCTGTTTTCTCTGCAAGGCCGAAAAGCAGTGTTCTGCTTTGCAGTGGGTTGCCTATGATCTCCTAACCCAGAACATAGCTATTTGATATCCCATAACACCATAATGAGGGTGGTGAATATCACACTTCACCTTTCTCTTTCAAACCTTACTCAGGATGCTGCTTTGAGGGAAAAATTCTGTTTGAGATGCTGTAACACTGGGGATTCTTTCCAATCAGCTCACCACCACCCCCTTAACCCCACCATCATTAAAGCAAAGCCAAATGCCTTCAGACTTCCCCAGAGGACTTCTTTTCTCCATCAGATTTACTGTTGCACTTAATGTTTATTGCAACTCTTCATGTCCCCTCCACCCTGCACTGTGTATCTGGTTTAGGGGAAAGAGGAAAGATATCTGGAAATGGACCTGGCAAGCCCTAGAGAGCACACCCAAGTTAGAAGGCTTCTCTTAGGAATTGCTTCTTTTTATATAGGTGTGTAAGTTCCCCTTAGCATATCTTACTCTCAACTTGAAGGAGGGGACTTTTTAAATGGTGCCATTTTAAATTAAGATCACAGGAAAGTGGCAGAGATTTTTTTTTCTCCACAAGCTATAAATAGTATTAGACATGGATGCATGAATTCAGGCATCCAACCTGAACAATCATTAACAACATGTCAAATTCCCCCTGAAATGTTCCATACTAGTAAAAAGTTTTCCCTGTGAATATAGACAAAAAAGCTGCTCTGCTAAGTAAAGATTTGCAGTTACTTCCTCATTTAAAAGCAACACAGAGAGCAGTGGAAGGTGTCAGTAGATGATTAAAGCCGCAGAAGTGCCCAATTAACTTCAAAGAGTGTATCGAACTATTAATAGACAATGTATTTTAAATTACAATGGGGAAAAGGAAATCAATGCAGGTGGAATGGTAAAGGTGCATCAGAGGAAGATGAATTGGATGAGTGGAGATGAACTTGAGTGCAAGGCAGATAATGAATGCGTCAAAGTTTCCAAAGTGATGCCATACATGTATTAGCAGAGCTCAGGTCGTTACACACCTTTGCCACACTGATGACCTTGAAAGGCCCTCGTGAGAAGGGCTCCTGGGTCTTGGAGCCAGAGGCACAGAGGAATGGCAGCCCTGGAAGCGACTGCTTCAGCCCCTTCTCTGCTCTCATGGATCGTCCACACGCCAAGCAGAGCACAATTTTCCTCTTTCCAGTGGGTGAGAGATAATAGTATCCCTAAAAAAAGGAACAGAGATGTTTTTATGTAGGGGCATCTAAATTATTATAGCATTTTTGTAGAATACTTTACAATACGAATAAAGCATTTATATGATCCCCAAATGCTATATTTGAAATCTCAACATGAATGAATGATTTTGCTCCCCAATAATTATATTAAGAAACATATTTCTAAATTCTATTGACTGAAAAAGACTAGAGGCAATGACAATTCAACATCAATGAGTATAATTTATGCCAAGAATCAGGGTTTCATGGAGGAATGGCCAGTTCCAGATGTGGGGCAAGAAATATATAAGATAAGCAAGTGATGTCCTGTAGTGCCTGGAAAGAAAAGAAGCCATCCAAGAGTAAAGGAGTCATGTTAAAAAGACACAAGTACCAACATGAAGAAGCGTCCACTGGCCCAACCTAGGACAATTGGGGAACAACAAAAAGAACACTTTAGATATGTTTAAAAGTCCCATGAGCTCATAATGATGCTAAAGATATAAGTAAATATAACAATTAAAAAACAACAAACACGTAAAAACAAAATTGCAGCTTATTGGAGTCCACTAGAAGTAAACTGTCACCAATTGATAACTCTGACAACTGGCCATTAGAAAGTGTGGCAGATTATTTGCAAACATAGCCACAATAAAACCTCCCCATCCTGGTTTGCATGTCCTTCTGAAATGTGATTTTGCTTCTCTTCCAGTCAAGAAATGTTTCTCTTTTTGTCTTTTCCTTGAATCTGAGCAACTCTGTGTGACTTGCTTTGGTCAATGTATCAGTAAATGCGATGATGCAAGCAGATGCCTAGGAAGTGTTTGCACATTGGAGCTGGCTCTCTTTTGGCTGCCACTGGAACCCTGAGACCACAATATGAACACACTTGAGCTAGCCTACTTAAGAAGCCTTGAGGAGAATGAAGAACCCCAGCTAACTGCCTGCTAACCTCCAGATATGTGAGGGAGACCATCGTTAACCACCCAGTCCCCATAGAACCACCAACCTACTAATGTACCACGAGATGACTACATATTAGGGTCACATTAGTGACTTTGGGCAAGACCAGCAGAGCTGCTCCACTGAGCTCAGCCCAAATTATTGGCCAACAGAGCGAAAAAAAAAATCGTTCTTAGTTTAAGCCACTAAGTTTTCAGGTTGTTTATTATACCACAATAGAGAAGTCAGATAGAAAGAATAAACATTTATTCTACCAACACTTAAAAACTATATTTTTGGGTAGTCAAATACCTAGTTGAAGAGGATGAACCTCGTTGAAATTCTTCCCTACATTAAAAATGTAGCTAATAGGGGCACCTGGGTGGCTCAGACGGTTCAGCAGCCGGCTGACAGCTCAGGTCATGATCTTACAGTTTGTGAATTCAAGCCCCATGTAGGGCTCTGTGCTGACAGCTCAGAACCTGGAGCCTGCTTCGGATTCTGTGTCTCCCCCTCTCTCTCTCTGCCCCTTCCCAACTCATATTCTGTCTTTCTCTTTCTTAAAAATAAACATTAAAAATAAAATAAAATAAAATAAAATAAAATAAAATAAAATAAAATAAAAAGTTCAGGTAATAAATGTTGGGAAAATGACAGAATTAAACAAAACTAACACCCCTTTTATTCTGAGAGAGAGAGAGAGAGCATGGAGCAAAGGAGAGGGGAAGTGGGGAGGGGTGGAATCTTAAGCAGGCTCCACGCTCAGTGTTGAGGTCAATGCGGGGCTTGATGCCATGACCCTGGGATCATGATTTGAGCCAAAATCAAGAGTCAGACGCTCGATTGAGACACCCAGGCGCCCCTAATGTTGACCCTTTGGAAACTCCTAATAACCGATTTAAGCAAAGATCACCAAAGAGTGACACTAGATGCAAAGTCATTGGGAGATTTGTTAAATGTGAGATTCGGTTGTGATCATGCCCACTGATACTCATTATCGCTAAAAATGGAAAATCCAGAAATTGTACCCTTGCATAAATGGTCAATATGAAATATACAGTAAAGTCCATGACAATTCTTGTCAAAAAATATTGAACATAAATCTAATTACAACTTTAGCATTAAATTACTGTTACAGGAATCATGGGGGCTACAGAAACAAATATAAAAATGCCACAGAAGTAAACAGTCATATCCAAATAGGAGGCAACCTATAGGAAAATTCTAGATTCTACAACCAAAGGTCATTCAAGGACCTTGTTTCAATCCTGACTCAGACCAAGCAACAATAAGAATAATTTTTTTAGGAGAACCTAGGAAATTTGATTAAGAACAGGGTACTTGATAGCCAAAATGTATTATTAATTTTGTTAGGTGTGATAATGGCATAATTAGGTATGAAAATTTTCCAATATTTTAGAGGTGTGCTTAAGTTGAAGGTGAAATGGTATCATGTCTGGGGTTTGTAAATATTGAAAAACCTTGATAACAGTTGAATTTAGATGATAAATATATGAGGATTTATTACACTATTATATTTTTGAATATGTATGAAAATCTCCATAATAAAATTTTAAAGTACTTTTATGTAGACTCTCTAATTTGCTTTGGTCCTCACAAGGCTAAAAGTTAAGTACAGCCAGAGTTAATACCATTCTCAATCAACTTACAGATGAGAAAACAAAAGCTGAGAGAGGGAAGTTTTCATCCAAGGATACTTAAGTAGTACATGGCAGAACTGAAATGTAAAACTGACTCCTGACTCCAAGTTCTTGGCTCTTTTTGCCTTTGTCATATTACTTGAAATACTCCCTTTAAGTATGTAGAGTTAATTCAAAGCCAAACTTTAAATGATACTTTTGAAGATGTAATTCTTAAATTCTACTATGGATTTCTCTGTATGTACCTACAACTTCCATTTTTCTACACATTGCTTAAAGGCAGAAAATTAAAACATTCCTGCTTAGATGGAAATAAATGAATATTATGTGTAGAACCATCTCTATAGAAAAGCAAGGATTTCATGATGAATTGTATGCCAATAATTTTCTTTCTTATACTAAAGAAGCCTATTGGAAGTATCCAGAAAATATATTTTTCATTCATTAAAACATCCATCCCCATCACTGTGGTGCTACAGGTTTGATGATCTCTGAGTTGTTCTATTTTGGCAATGGTACATATACACAATGTAAACTGTTTTTCATTAATTCATTTACACTTAATACTGCTTGGTAACTGCTGATGGAAAGAAAAGCACAATACATTTGGTATGCCTGTAGAACTTAAACAGAGTTTAAAAGTTCAGTAAGTCAGCTACTGGTATTCTGTGCAGAATACCAGGCAATTGATTTGACTAATTCTTTTCTCTATAAAATTTCCTTGATTTATTGAAATGACTAACTTGATCTGTTCATTTGGCCTTATAGACATATGGTCTATTACATGGGGTTAGTCTGATCAATAATGACTGTTACTATATATATAGTAGGTAATGTGATTGTGAATAAATTATTCAGTGTCTTCATCATATTTATTATTTAAATGAGACAACATGTGAAAATCACTAAGATTGATCAGTATGTAACATACAGTAGTGATCAAGCATGTAATAGTTACTTCATATTCATTTTCTTTTTCTAAGCTATCCATTAGAATGAGGTCTAGAAAAGGAGTTCTTATCCTACATCCCAAATGGATTTCAGGGGGAGTCTATAAATTCCCTGAAACTTATATGAAAGGTGGTTGTGTACATATGTGCATTTTTGGGGAAAAGAATATGCATAATTTTCATGAAATGCTCAAAGTCCGTATCTCCAAAAAGATTAAGAACTAACCACTGGCTTAGAGACTTTGTATGAGTAAATTTCTCCCAGGCCCAGGAGAAGTTTTTAATTTGTGAATCCCAGAATTGATATATTATTGCACTCTTCAGATTAATCATATTAACTTCTAATAGATAGGCTATCATTTAACTTTTGGGAAAGGAAAATTATGATCTTTTGGAGTGAATCATTGTTAGAAAATGGGAAATTGTATTTTGGTTAATGCAAATAAAAGAACATCTTGATTATATGGTTAAAAGAAAGGCAATAGTTTTATAATCATTGAGGCTTAAACTCTAGGACTCCCTTCTTTACTTTTTTTTCATTATAAAATATTTCAATCATACAAAACAGCACAGTATCGTGAACTCCCATGAACCCATACTCAGCTTCCCTAATTACTATCTGGATATTAATAAAAGTTAGCAATAATAATCTAAATTTTGTCTAGATTCACTAAAATCCAACCAAGTTTTAAAGGTCTGTAGGGAAAATATCCCAAAGTCACAAGATGGCCACTAAATAAACTTAAATAATAATTGGATTGTGTGGACTAGGAAATTGAGTTTACTGGTGATGAAATAAGAGTGCTGTGATTGGTGCTAAAACAAGAAGTTATTGATGAAGCCATTGAAAGTGGAAACTGTTCAAGTCTAAAAAACGACCTTAGAAGGCCGTTTGAGTTTCTGCTTAAAGAACTCATTTTGCAAAAAAGAGCCATTTTACACATTGCTTAAAGGCAGAAAATTAAAACATTCCTGCTTAGATGGAAATAAATGAATATAATGTGAAGAACCATCTCTATAGAAAGATAGTTGGAATCATGCTGATATTATCTTCTAAGCTGCACTCTTTTTTAGCAAGAAAGACAGCAAATGGCCTTCAAGAATTATTTTGGAGAAAGCAAGTTGCATGTGTGATTTTAGGAGGAGTTCAAAGTAAAACCCATGTGCCAACTATCTGATGTATGGCACTGGAACTAGCATATTGATGGCCCTGACTTGGTTAAGTGGTGTTCTGCCTATTCCGGTTAAGGAAAAGTACGTAAAATAGTTTTTAAAATATTTCTAAACAAAATGGTCAAGTAGAAAATTCTGGTACTTAAAAGTGTTAAACTTTTCTTTAGCAGAACACCAAGATGTTCACTGAGACCTCAACCCACAGCCACTGTTCCACTATCCCTCCCACCTTTCATGCCACCACCCTTTAAAACTCAACCTCGACTCCACCATGTATCTCTGTAATTACTCTCCCCTTTCCCTTCCCACCAGCTAAACAGTTTTTCCTTTCCTGTCTCTTTTAACAAAAACACAAGTTGCATAATCACTGGAAAATTTCAATCATACACCAATGTATGATAAGCCACCCTCTACCCTTCACCCAGCTTCAACAATTATCAATAACTACCAATCTTGTTCCATCTGCACCCCACCCACTCCTACCTGGATGACTTTGAAGTAAATCCCAGGCATTATATCATTTCATTCTTAAATATTTCAGTATATATTTCTAAAAGATAAAAATTCTTTTATCATAACTATAATATCACATCTAAAACTAACAATGATAGTATCTTAATATAACAAAATATTTAGTCAGTATTCAAATTTCTATAGTCATCTCTCTCCTCTTACAAATTTGTTTGAAATAGAATCAAAATCAGGTCAATACATTATAACTGGTTTATATACCTCCTAAATTTCTTTTAACCTCCATGTTCCTGCTATATCTCTTTTTCTCTTTTCTTTTATTGTAATTTATTTGTTGTTTATTTTTTGTCAGTTGGGATCTTGACGACTACATGGTCTTTGTGTCTTTTACCAAGTTCCTCTATTTCCTTTGTTTCTAGTCAATTATTAGAATGAAAGACTTGATTAAATTCCAGTTACATTTTTGTGGGGAGGAACACTTCATAAGTGGTACTAAATACTTCCATCAAGGGGTACGTGTTACCTGTTGTGTCTCTGTAATACTATTAGCTACTGATAATCATTGCTTAGGTCAATTACTATATCAAAGTTCACAACACAGCGACACTCCAATTTTTTCATACCTTATTCATTTCTTAGCTGGCAATGAATTCCTATGGAGTGAAACTTCTCATCTACTATTTTGTTATCCTAACATATAGTTCATAAAGGAAGGAAAAAAATAAATGCTTGATTCTTTATTTCCTAGTTGTCAAAGTAACTAATTGTTCCTAAGCATCATCTAATTGTGATCAATGAATTATTGTTATTCTTATCAGTACAAATACATGGATTTAAACATGTCCGATGTATGTCAATCTGCCACATTCAGTAGACATCTGATGTATGTCAATGCAACACATTGATGCTTAAATTGTTTTGTCTTTGGACTGGGAGCCTTTTCAAGTTGACTTGATTCCTTTGAAGATGATCTTGGTAGTCTCCGACAGCATATTTGCCACCTGGTATGAGTTCACAGACAAAGGAGAAAAGGGTTGCTGGGAGGATAGCATAGTCAAAACCAAAGACAGGCAGAATGGTATGGTAAATTTGGACAAATGTAAATTATTTAGCAGAGCCAGGGAATTTTGGGTGAAGGAGAAGAGGCAGCTATTTAGAGATGTCTGAGAAGGAGAGTAAAGAGGATCTTGGAGAATCTTGCAGTGTGCATTTTGAGATTTCTGCAGGCCAATGTTTATCAATAAGCTTGATATACTGACCCACAAATACCTCAGGTATTTGTAAAGTATGCAGCAATTCCTTACTAATAAAAATTATAGGACCAAATCTGAAGAATCACTTCCTTAGAAAGTAGAGTATAGGTATTCACACTTAGACCTATGCTTGGTATAATGCAATATAGTTAAAGTCACTTACAATCATTCACATTTTAATATGCTTTCTGGAGTGGAGTGACATCTAGTGTGGCAGGCACAGCTGTGGGAGTATGTGTGAGTGTTCTGGTGAACTGATCATGGACCAAAGATGGTGGTAATGATAGGGAGCCATTGAAACAATATAAGCAGTGGGTAATACAAATATTTCTTCATTGTTTCCTAACCAGAATCACAGAGTCTAAATGATTTCATTCACAAATCAGTGTTTAATTTGTCTGAATATAAGGTTTTCTAGGGGAAAAAAAGTTCTGGCTTTATTAAATTGTCCATTTTCTCCTGTTTTCCTTTTATCCTTAGTAGAAAAGAACCACTTACTGGTTGATCAATGTTTTCCTCTTTAATCACAGAGGATGTACAAATACCAGCATAATTTGCTGCTGTGATTTCCTTATCAAGTGCAGTGCTATGAAAGGCCATGAAAGCTTTGATATTTTCCATGTAATTCCACTTTTGATTGGAAGTCCCATTGTTATAAGGTTTATATTGCTGGGGGAAAAAAAGGATAAAATATGGAGTCAAGCAGACAGGAGAGTTTACGATTTATTTATAGATGTCAAATATTTCATCGCATGAATTCAAAAAGTATAGATAATTATTCAATTCTACTACATAGTAATAATCATATTAATATTTGATAATTATATACACATTTTTTACATTTATAAATATGCATTCTTTGATTTACAAAAATGAAATCACAAAATGCACACAATTTGGTAATTGCATTCGTTTTTTTTTTTTTCAACTTAAAAATATTCCATGGGGCACCTCAATAGCTCAGTCAGTTAAGTGTCCAACTCTTGATCTCAGTTTGGGTCTTGATCTCAGGGTTGAAGGGATTTCAAGCCCTTTTTTTTTTTTTTTTCAATTCCATGAGACTTTTCCTAATATTTTTAAAGGATATATATACTATTTAATCTCAGTGATGTTTTATTTTACCAATCCCCAATAGTTAAACGTGTAGATTGCTTCTCAGATTTTCCTTATTAGATGCAAAAGAACAATCAACAATCATAGATTTTTATGTAAATACATGATAAATTCTTTAGAACAAACTCAAGTACAAGTGTTGATAACAAGGTCATTTTAAAATATTATGGTACATCATATAAAGTTTTACCATATCCAAATGCTTTCTAGAAAGGTTATTCTAGTTTACACTTACACCATTGGTATAAGAAATGGCCTGTTTTCCTCACATTCTTGCTCAAACATCATCAATTCAATACATGAAAAATAGTACCTGGTTGCTATTTTAATTTATGTTTTACTGGTTATCAAGAAGAGTTTTTTTTTAAATATGAGTACAGTCAGTATTATATGTAACAGAAACAGCATATTTATTCTAATTATAAAACTTGGCTCAAGCATAAGTAAAGAAATGAGTAGTTTCAGTTTTAGAGAATTTAAGCCAGTAGATTAGTTCCAACTAAACATATCACGACACCTCAAGGAACTTTGTAATGACTAGCACTTACTTTACCAAGGAGAGATTGATAGTAAAGAGGAAAATAAATGGGTCTTAAGAACTGACTGATTTAATAGGTCAGACAATAGAGCGTCCCTCAGAGGCCTGGAAAACAAAGACTGTATTTCAAGGAACAGAGAGTGGGGGGTCTAGTAACATTAGCCTAGTGTGCCTCATTTTTGTTATTTCACATGAACTTTAATATTTTCTCACAAACTGATTGCTTCAAGAAATAAAAACAAAATATCAGCAAAGGAAAAAATCTTGAAAAGTAATACAAATTACCTTAAGATCAAATGCATTTCTTAAAAATGGGAACCTTAGGGGGAAATGTCAATATCTATAATTTTATGAAACTGATCAAGGTGCTAAATTTGCATCTGCATGAGGTTTTAATCTCACTGTGGCCCATGCCAAAGAGGCACGTGACAGGGAAGAATGTAATGTTATACACACTATGTCTCCTAGAATAAAATTTTAGCCCATATTTGTCATCAGCGTAGAAGACTTAATTAAGCTTTGATATTTGTCCAGATTGTTCTATCCCAATTATGGATTCAGGACCTGCAAAACAAGCTGCCTTATTGCTATTAAAAACATGGAATAAAACAAGTGTAATTTAGAGACAGTTATTCTATTCAACAAAAAGATGGTAAATTCTAGAGGATACAGAAAATAAATTCAGAGAAGGAGTGCTCCTAAATTTTCTTTTGTCTTAACAAGGGAAAATACATGTCCAGTTAGGGAGTGTCTTTGGTTATAAGTAAGGATGACAGATAAACATGAAAAAAGAACTCCATAGCTCTTTACCCAAAACTCAGATGAGCCCAGATTTCTCGGAAGTCTCCAAAAATTGTCTGGCTGCTGTAAGCATTTGCAAAAGCACGTTAAAAGTGTATTTGAAATGAGTCTCTTGGTAGAATTAACATGGATGAGTTCACATCCTTCAGGAAGACCTCTTTGCCCATGCTCTTTCCCTTCAGTTGCCAGGTAAGAGGGGACTTGCATATGTCCCAATCAGTGAGCTTAAAGCACGCACATCTAACAGCTATTCACTTGACCATACCCACCACTCAGACTGTATGAGTGCTACTGGGATAATTTCACATGCTTGCCCTTGGATTTGATTTAAGTAACTAGCATAGCTCCTGACATGCAGCAAGCCCACAGTCACCATCTGTTGGATTAAACTAAATTAAGAGCTACATGAACATGTTGAATTTGAAATCTAGGCAGACTATTGTAAATATTTTAACAATAGCATTCAAGACAGGTTTCTATGACAGCCATTGTCTTTCTCCACAACAAGGAAGTATACGGCTTTACTTTAATTAAATAAAGGGCCATGATTACTACTTAGTCTATAAATATCTTACCTGAACAATAACTGGATAGCCACAGACTTCATTTCTTGCTTTGGTCATAGACACTGCCAGCACAAGGTCCGGGTTACTCACCAGGTGAAAGGTCCTTGGGAAAACAGGACTAGGCGTATCATCAAGTAGCATAACCAGATCAGAGCTCCCCCTGTGCCACTTCCCATTGTGTTGCCTCTTAGCTCCATACATGCTCTCTGATAATGGATATGAATCCTTTAAGCATTTCTCCCCTACAGAAGCACAGTGTGAAGCTTTCTCAGTAGAGAGTGCTGGAGGAACACTGCAGGAGGAAGGGGCTCTCTTGCTCTTCCTGGCTGCTGCATGGGGTCAGCAGTTGGGAGTGAGGATATCTAGTGCTGTTCTGCTCCAACCAGGTGCCAAAAATATGGAGTCCCTTGGAACCTTCACAGGTCTGGCCAGTAACCATTTGCTTGTGGCCTTCCTGACATGGACATCACATGCTCTAAACCTTCTGCCACACCAACATCCCATTCCCTTTTCATGCCTATGTGCCCCCAAACCAGCTGTACCCCCACATACGTTGCTTCCTCCTTGCAGACCAGGTCTGGCCAGGCCAACCAACAGACTTCTGCCATCCAGTTAGCTGCACCCATACTTTTTCTAATGAGTTCTGAATTCCAGTTTTGAGAAAGGGCCCAATTTTAAATTTGTTCTCAACTCCCTCAGCTCCAGAGTACCATACAGAGGATTTTTTTTAAATATCTGATAGTTACTCTTTATTATTGTTTAGTAATTCTTTATGTTACATATCCCATTTAAATAACTGTGTGGTTTCTGTCTCCAGATTGTACCCATACTGATTATACACCCTCCTCACCTGTCCTGCTATTTATTATGAGAGGCACTGTGACAGAATGATTAAGAACATGGATTCTGGAGCCACAGTGCCCGAGTTTGAATACAGATTCTACCTCTCAGTAGCTGTATGGTTTTGCTTAACTACACTGTGCCTCAGTTTCCTCATCTGTAAAATAGGATAATGGCGCATGCCTCAAGGGACTCGTTGGGAATGAAATGAATTAATGCATAGAACATGCATAGAACATTGCCTAGCACACATCACTTAGAATGAACCACTATTATTCATGGTTGTGATTTTTTTTATAGCTTTTCCATGAACTCTCTTTTTCTAAGGTAGTATTCCCTAAAATTCCAAGATATATGTGAATATTTTTAAGTTATCTTATATAGGAGCTTACATAAAGCCTCTTTGACCAAAAAAAGGAAGAAAATGATTGGGCTAATCATTCTCAAATTCTCTTCCTTGCATCACTTAAAAGCAAAAGTAAGCCAAACATTCAAGGATCTTATCTGTACAGAAAAAAACAATTCTTTGTGTCTGTCAACATAGGGACACTACACGTCCGCAGTGGCATTCCTGCTGTGGAAAATAGAACTTGTCCTATAAAATTTAACGATGTGAGAGTGGGGGTCTGGTATAAAAGTAATATATTTCTCCTTTTAAGACTGCAAAAATTCCAGATATCTAATTTAAACTTATGAACATAAAACAATAGAGTCCCATTGTAAAGAATTACAAAGTACTGGAAAATACAGGAAAAATTGTAACAGAATTTTAAACATTCCTCACATTACTATAAGATAATCACTATTAATCTTATAATGTATTTCTCCCTCCTATTGTTAATTAATGATGCATCATTTTAAGTCAAAAATGGGTATTGGATTTTATCAAATACCTCTGTAGAGTTCATCAATATTGGACAAGAACTGCACAAGAACTGGTATTCTATATTGTTCACCTGCGTAGCCTCACCGTCTGCACAGTCTTGCATTTTCATGAATGAATGATTGTACATTTCCTGCAATGACCTACTGAGGTGCCAAGTTAGTTACCTAGCTGTCTATGTTTCTGCTGCTTAGAACAGATATAGCAACTTCTCTCATGCTTCAATGCCATGCTCAGCCAGGATAGCGTTGGTTATTCTTTTCATTTCTGAACAGTGCAGTCAACTGGCACTTGCCCTTAGCAAGACTGCTTACATTTTGCAGGAAGCTTGAGTTTATACACATGTACCTAAAACCCACTCTGTGCCAAACAGTAGTGTGAGAACTTAGTCTGTGTCCCAGGAATATCCAGCACGACACCACAGCCCCTTCCACTAACCCAAGGAATGAGTGCTTACAAGTCACTTAATCTCTTGAGCCTCAGTTTACCTAGTTTTGAAATCAAGTGATTAAGACTAGAAAATTCTAAATATCTTTTTTAGCTCCAAATTCTATGACACAGGATTTCCCCCTGTATAATTCTAAGTCCTGTTGAGGGGATTTTCATCCCTGAGCAGTATTTCATATTTCCCTTTAGAACCCAAATGATTAACTCAGATTTTGCCAGAGTTGAAAATGGAAGAAAGATGCCAGGTTATCTCAAAAATTCACCTGGATCATTCTTTTGTGTGGCTGGAAACCAAGTGAATGCATCTGTGGCAATTTCTTACTACCTTTCCGTGCCCCCTTGCTCATTTCTTGCACTTCTCACCTAGACCATGTGCTGTCCCAGCAAGATCTTGTTCTCACAGCCGTAATTTCCCTGAAGAGATTTTGCTGATAATTGCTTAAGATATAAGATTTCCTAGTTATTTTATATGTTAAATAGAAGGCCAAAATGAAAACGTAATCCCAGACCCAAAGGACTGAATGAAAGGACTAACGGTAGAAAATTCTCAGCACAGTGATCGCCACTTGGTACCTCCCATTATGTTGGCAGTGCTGGTGGTGCTCCAATGTTTCACAGAGTTTTAGGCAAACTTCTTTCTGTTTTTACTTAAAAGGCCTTCCCCTCCTCACAGGCTTTCTCCACAGCACTCAAGATGAAAAGCAAAACCAATGACAGACACTTAGCAGGACTCAGAACTCACTCCCTTTTCCAATAAGCAAATATTTCGGAGTTAAAACTCATTATGCTTGACTTTCTCCTGTCTCAAGGTCTCTTCTCTCATTCCCCATTTGTGCCCACCCCAGTTGATCAGTCACACTCAAAGTCCAACTTGGGCTTGAGTAGGACCTCCACTATGATACAGTACGCTGTATGGCTAAATTCCAGAAATGTACAGCTGGGTAGCACTAGCTCGGTCAGGGCAGGGATTTTCATCTCTTTTCTTCTTAGCTAAAGCACCAGCACCTAAAAACACTGCCTTTAATAACCCTTTGCAGCAGAATGAATGAATTCTGGTCCCATAGAGCAAATCAATCACGGGGACAAAAGCCTGCTTCTAAAGCTCCCTGTTGTAAAGTTAGCTTAGCTAGAATGAATGGGGCAAATGAACACACTCACCAGGTCTAGCTACAGGTTGGCTTTTCAGCCTTTTCTAAAACAAGCCCAATAAGCGTCCCTTGCAGTGTTTGGCTCACCTCAGACAGTGAACACAGTAAGGCTAACTCCCGTCCTGCCCACGCTGGGCTGCTGCTGCCGCCTGCTGAAGCTTATGCAATCTGCCTCCAAGCAATTCCAAAACCTTTCACATCACATATCTTTTGAGAATCCAGTGAAAATCACAGCTCTTTCCCAGAAAAAAAATATGTATTGCACAGATTTCAAGAGATTGAAGAGGCCCCTGGAGCCCCACCATGTAAGACTAACAGTAGAATTTGAAGCAAACCAATCTAAAATCTAAGGAGTTGTTTTCTTTCTTGTTAAAGAAATGTTCATATATGCACAAAAACAGAGAGAATGATATAAGAAACCACCACAACTTACCAGTTGTCAACATTCTGCCATTCTTGTTTCATCCATTCCCCCGTAACATTTTACATTTTTGCTTTTGCTAGAATATTTTAATGCAAATCTGAGCTATCTCTTAATTTTCTGTATAAATACTACAATATATATCCAAGTGGTCAGGACTTTTGTTTTTTTTAACATAGCCATTAAACTATTTTGACAGTCAACAAGATTAATAAGACCTCCTTCGTATCATCTGGTACCTAGACTTTTAAATTTCTTCTGTCTTAGAAATAACCTTTTGACAGTGGTTGGCTTGAATCTGGATCCAGACATGGGCCAGCCATTGGGTTGGATTGGATCGATATATTTGCTAAGGTAAGGATTCCTTTTCACCGTGTAAGCGGAAACCATCGTTATTTGATGGAAGTAACCAACTGCATGCATACATGAGATGTGGGGAGGGGCAGAAGACTGAGTTAATAAAAAATACTGCAAAAAGTTTTAAATGGGGACTCTTTAAAGCTCTTGCTTGATCCTTTCAAATCATAAAAATAAAATTAGATGACATCCCAGTTTTCTCTCAACTTCAACAGTCAGTGAAAACTATGAACCAAGTAGGTCACATTTCCTATTTCTTATCTGAATTGACAGTGGATATGCTGTCTAGAGACTACTGAGCATTTACATTTGATTTCACTCTCTCTTCCTTGAGAAGGATAAAAAATTATTGGCTACATTAAATAAAAAATCCAAAGTCCTCAGATATACGCCCTGCCTGCTCTGTGGGGACCATGCCAGATCTTTTAGGCTTCTGTTGATATATTTTGATATATTGACCCCACAATATAAAGGGTTTACCTGCTGCCTTCCTTGTGCATCCATCGTTGATGACTGTCACCCACTTTTTTCTCCACCAAAACTACCTCCGTGTCTGAACGCAGATCAGGACCTCTTACTCCCAAAACTAACTGAGGAGCAGCATGGCATATAATTTGCTCATCTCTGTATTCAAACTGCTGGTGGCAAAGCTTCTGCAATTTATTCTGCTTTGGAGAATAGCTGAGATAAAGAAAATCCCATTAGTGGCCGAAAAATGTCCTGTGCACTTGATGTGCTGGAGACCGCAAGTTCCGTTGGCGAGAGACCTGCTGTGAACTGAACTCACTTATAACGGTGAGGCATTATCATCGGGGCAGCAGCAATGTTATTTGCCTTGCACTGCCAAGCTGATGTAAAAAAGGTAGAATTCTGGGCTTATTCTGTAACAGAAATAAATGTTCATCCAAGAGAATATGAGAAACTCATCAGCATAACAAAAAGAAATTTAGTTGAAGAGATAATTTAATTAAAGGGAAAAAAGAGTAGGAGAAGGAGAGCGGTAAAAGGGAAATAGGGAGAAACAAAGGTGTTCAGATCATGATTGTTTCTAGCCTCTATCTCCAGATAGAATGCCACTGTTCAAGTTTTTCCATCTTCCCTGACAACTCATAGAAGATCATAAAAAAGAATGATATACTAATAAGTTAATTCAAAGGAATCTCTTGCTTAAGGATCTTAAGGCAATAAGAAGACTTATTAAACATATGAAATACCACAATGCATTGTCAATCAAATACATTTATAAACATCTATGAAGCCCCTACTCTATGCTAAAGGTCGAAGTGCCAAGACTGTTTAATTTATATAAAATGCTATCAAGTTACACAAACGTCTAACGATTATGGAATGATACAAAGTACTATAAATTCCTATTATTTCATTGGACATTGACCAGGAAAAAATAAAATGAAAAAGAAGAAACTACATTTTCCTAATTTCTTAAAGACATCAAAGAATCTCATATGCTTATTCTTAAGTTCATTCACACATTCATTCAACAAACACACAGGCTTGGTGCTAAGTTATCAGGAGGCACAGGTGGATGAGCTTACTGCTGAATGGAAAAGACACACTAGTGAACAAGAAATTACATCACGTGGCACAAAATAAGCTAAAGGGAGAAGGGCCTTCCCACAAGTACTTGCAAATACTTAGTCACAGACACAAGAAAGACAAAAATGTGCATGTTGATGTACATGCGGCTAACAGTAAGGCAAACCCACAAGAATCATTTTGCCCCAAAGTGAGCAAATCTAAGGCCAGGTAGAAATCTCTCACAAGAATCCCTTGCAACTTTTTACCTGTATTTCTTCTGTGGTTCCACATTTTCAAAGAGTTCTTCTTCCATTTTCTTTGTAAGACTGTCATCCTCATCAAAGTCATGAGGAGTTTCCTGCCAGGCATATCTGGGAAGTGTGTGACAAGCTTTCATTCGAAGATGGGCTCTTGCATGTGAATCTCTACCAAGGTTCAGAAGCAAACACAAGAATTCTGATTTTTACTCACAGAGTTTTCTCTGAGGGATAGTCTGATCATATCCTGAAGGATATTGGTAGATCTGTAAATCGCATTTCCATTGTCGTGCCTAACATCGCAAATCCGTATCTTACTAACACATAATTTAGACGTTTTAATATAAGCCTACAAATAAAATTCCTCCATTACATAATAAATAGCACTCATCTTTACCATATTTATTTGGGAAAAAGGGGGCCATGTATTATATTTCAAAAATTGCGAGATTAAGGCTACTCGGTAGTTTAAGAAATTTATAATGAATGTGTAATGAGATTCCTTCTGCCTGCTCCATAAGTGGGTCATAATTCTGTCTGGAACAGAACAGCCTAGATTACTGCATTTCATAAAGTTTACTCATTAGACAGTGTTAAGAAATCTTAATTAGGGGCGCCTGGGTGGCGCAGTCGGTTAAGCGTCCGACTTCAGCCAGGTCATGATCTCACGGTCCGTGAGTTCGAGCCCCGCGTCAGGCTCTGGGCTGATGGCTCAGAGCCTGGAGCCTGTTTCCGATTCTGTGTCTCCCTCTCTCTCTGCCCCTCCCCCGTTCATGCTCTGTCTCTCTCTGTCCCAAAAATAAAATAAAAACGTTGGAAAAAAAAAATTAAAAAAAAAAAAAAGAAATCTTAATTAACTTAACTTTTCCTCTCAAACCTAGAGAGGCTCCAAGAGCATGGGCATGTTCGTGCCAGTTTTTGATAAAGAATAATGTACTAAAACACTTAAATAGTCAGAGCTTGGATAACTGAGTCAGTCAGCCTTCTGGCTTTTTATTAAGACGAAGGTGTGAGCAGGAGCGTAGCCACCATCCGGATCCGTATATATCAAGTTCTGGGGCACTGTTCAAGGTACATTTGCTTCCATGGGATCACGACACAATATGAGGACTGCTGGGTCCAAGGCGGGTTAAATATATGCGCAAAGCAGCAAATATGCATGTATGTAAATAAAGCTAGGGGATGCGGGGAAGCTGTGAGTGCCAAGGCGCTTGTGGTTTTTGATATAGCTGCAAGTGATATCAAATTACCAAAATCTTTGGGGTCAATTCCTGTGTTAGCAGAGCAGACCATACACTTTTCAAATGTAACAAAAGTATTACATGTGGCTCTGAAATTGGTGGGTAACAGCTGCCTCATTCAGAGCTGCAGCACACACAGCTTCTCAAGTCAAAAGTCTAACAGTTAAAAAAACAACAGTGCCATCTTGTGTTAAAAATAAAAAACACAGCTTTCCCACTGACTGAGGAAAACAAAAAACAGAAATGTCATTCTTAGTTTTAACATATTTATCAAGGTGTAAACAAGATTCCTCCCCCAATCCAGATGTTTAATTTCCTAACTTGGAATTTATCTGTATGATCTTTGGCTTCCAGGCAAATGAAGAACAGTCAAAACAATAGACAATTTAGAACAGACCTTTCTAAATATAACTTCCTTTATTAATTCATTTGTCTACTCATTCATTTAATGACTTATGTGACTCATACACGACTAATCATTCCATAGTTAGTCAACTCATTCCTTTAATTGATATTTCTTGAACATCTACTATATGATAGGCACAGAATTATAAGTGTTGGGGATACAGTGATGAACAAAACAGGTAAATTCTCAAGATTCATAGAACTTACATTCCAGTGGGCAGAAGAGAGATAATACACAAGTAAATGAATAACTAAATAATACAAGTGCCATAAGTGGAATAAAACAAGATACCATGATAGAAATTAGCTGGTGGGGAGGGGGGGTCTACTTTAGCAAGGTAGTCAGAACAGACTCCTCTGAGAGATGATGTTTGAGTTGAGACCTGGAAAATGAGAAGGAGCCAGCCAGGTGAGGATCTTGGGAGAGAGAGCATTTATGGGCAGAGAAAAGAATAAATGGAGAGGTTCTGAAGCAAGAATATGTTTGGTTCATTTGATGAACAGAAGGACACTGGGTCATAGGTGTGCAGTGAGTGGAAAAGGTACTATGTGAAGAGGCTCTTAAAGTGGGCAGGGACTGCCTATAATTCAGTAAGGAAATGAGAAAGTTTTCCCTGAGTTCCATGCTAAAAAGGCCCTTTCTTCCACAAAGCAGCAAAGCTGAAGTGAGTACTCCCAGAGTTCTTTTCCATTTTGCTTATTTTTATTACCAGAAATCTTTACACAGAACCTAGCTATCAAACGGGTTCCTTCCTTGTGCAGGGTAGCTCAGTCGGTTAAGAGTCTGACTTCAGCTCAGGTCATGATCTCAAGGTTCGTGATTTGGGCCCCTTGTTGGGCTCTGTGCTGACAGTTCAGAGCCTGGAGCCTGTTTCAGATTCTGTGTCTCCCTTTCTCTCTGACCCTCTCCTGCTCGTTCTCTCTCTCTCTCTCTCTCTCTCTCTCTCTCTCTCTCTCAAACATAAATATTGAAAAAAAATTTTTTTTAAAAAGCGTTCCTTCTAGATCTGTTTAGCCTCTTGCTTTATGGATGCCCCTCCTTAAATCATCCCACCTCTCAAATATGTAAACCTTCCAAACAAACATATCTAAGGAAGTCTGGGGAAATCTTAAAGTGACTGTCTAATATAAGGTGATTTAGGATTGAGTCATCAGAAGTGGTTCAAAGAACTAGTGAAAGCCCGGAAAAGAGATAACCCAGTAGGCTGATGACAGAGAACTTTGAATATTTTATTTTATTTTATTTTATTTTATTTTATTTTAT